TAGAAATAACTTAGAAGGTATAAATCTACATTTCCTTAATTTATGTGATGGAACAATATTCTGTGTGGTGACCGTCCCGTGTAATACCTCTTTGTGGAAGGGCGTGGGCAATGCCACCACCAGAGGGAAAACCCGGCCTACTCCTAGTTCTGCAGCCAACAGTCCTGGCCTCAGGAGGATGGGAGCACGTGGGTCCTTCTTTCAGGTTTCAGTTGAGCACCTTCTGGCTCCAGATGACGGTCCCTGCTATTGCCCAGTTATTGTTCCAGACGAAGACGGACATGTGCCTCAGCCTCAGCCTGGGGCTCTTTGCTTTCAGGTAGAGCTCCAGACACTCAGACCCTGAGAAAGTGCCAGCATTGGAGAAGGGGAAGGCTTAGGTTTCATCTAACACAGGGTAAATCTGGGAACGTGAAGCTGACACCCAAATGTGTTTTAAGTAACAGGAAAGTCCTCATTTTGTATTAAGTCTTTCACTTAATTAAAAAGGAAACTCAGTACATCTACAGAACTACAACCTACAGAGCAAGCTAATGACTTGTGCTAATACAAGGTTTAAAGCCACTATCAGGTTTCCACTTGATTTATGAGACAGGGTATTCTCAATTTAAATTGGAACTTTATTACAAACACTTTCCTTCAAAATGATTCATCCATTACAGAACCCAATGGGAATTTCATTTTGTTAAAACTGAATTTTTATGAATAGCCAGGTGAACATCTGTAATTTTGAAGCCCAACACTTAGATGCCCATTTAGGAGTAGAGAGCCCTTCATGGTTCAAGATTAATATAATTTTTAAAAATTCATCTTGTAGACATCACAAATGTCTAGATGATGGATTATGCTAATAAGGCAGTTATTTAATTATAATTAATGGTGGAGGCAACATATAAAGAACGGGCTCAATTCTCAGCTGATTTAAAGAAATGATATATCCTACATAACTCTGTCATTCACTAAGAACTGTATTTTTTATAGGTATAGCAGACATTGCAAATATATCTGGTGGCTTCGTTTGTTCTCATGCCATTTTGAAATGATGCTTTTTAGGAATGGAACCACAGAGCAGGAAGCCTGTCAGTCCCTGCACTCCTGTTCCTGGCATGATTCCATGACATGGCTAAAGAGGGAAAGTCAAAGAAACTGACCCAGAGAACAACGTTCTGGGAGATGAAATTTATGGGGTAAGAAAGAGACAAAAGAACATTTTATGGTGCTGATGATCTGAGCAAGAAAAGCATGAAGTTAAAAAGAAGGTGATATTTGTAGAAACCATAAAATTCCCTGGTGGCATCACGAACCTAGATAACAAAAGAGTATCTCTTCCAGAGAAATTACCAAAGGCTGCACTGGCAGGTGGGAGCCCCCAAGGATTCTCCCAGATATCCCTGAATAATTGACCATCCTGGACTACAGGTGACATGGGTGTCACCTTCCCAATATCAAGAGGAAGTGCAGCTACCCTGACTGAAAAGGCAGCAAGCACAAAATGCAGGCCCTTAAATGTCCCCCTTCCCTACGGCAACCAACCAATCAATCAATCAATCAATCAAGACTCAGGGTCTCTGACAGAGGAGGACTTGCGGGACAGGATGGCAGCTCCTAGTCAACCCCGGAAGTTGTCACTGCTACAGCTATTCCTGTCCTATTGGTGTCTAGAAGGTTGATCAACCCTGCCTTTCCTCTTTGCAATTGTGCTGGTAGTAACAACAGCAGGTGTCCCCGTCCACGTGTCCAGGAGGCACGGGAAGCGCCTGAGGCTTTCTGGTGTTCAATCTTGGCACAGAACAAAGGGAGGACCTAGAAGAATGGCACAGTTCCCCACCTGGGTGCAGCTGCTGTCTTCCCATCAGCACTTGGACCTCATTTAACAGGACCCAACGACCATTCACCCTTGGCATGAGGAACCTGAGCCTCCCACTAGAAGGGTCAGGAGGGTTTGCAGGGAGGTGATCTTTGTGTGACTGGCGGGGACTCTGAGAGGAGCCCCTGCCATCCTAAGCCACTGCCTCTTCTCCTGCTCTGGGTTGCCTGCAGCTTTGTTCTAGAGTCAGCAACGAGAGTCCCTGGTTTCTTCCCTTCATTAAAGACAGTTCTTCCCTCTTGAGCCAGAAAAATAATTGCGATATCTTTCTGCATAACATTTATTGTTTTAGTCAACTTTCTTGCTCTGTGACCAAAAGACCTGACAAGAACATTTAGAAGAGGAATGTTTATTTTATGGCTCATGATTTTAGGCATTTCAGTGTATAGACAGCCAGGCCCATTCCTCGGGGCTCGAGGTGGGGCTGGACACCAGGGTGAAGGTTGGTGGAGGAAAGCAGCACAGAGCATCACACCAGGAAGCAGACAGGGGGAGACTCCATTTGCCAGGGATAAATTATACCCCCCAAAGGCACACCCCGATGACTCTCCTCCTCCAGCCACACCACACCCACCTCCACCTTTGGTTACTACTCAGTTAATCCCTAGCAGGGGATTAATCCAGTGATTAGCTGAAGGCTCTCCTAACCCAACCATTTCACCTCAGAGCCTTCTTGCATTATTTCATACCTGAGCTTCTGGGGACGTCTAAACCATATACTTATGATGGTGCTTCTCAGCATTCCCACGTCCTCCTTTCAGTGTTTCCTGCCATCCTCCTGGTGGCTCGGTGGAGTCAGCCTCCTTCTTAGAAGGGTGACACCCAGCCTTCTGAACAGAGTCTGCCTGGGTGTGCTCTAGACCCATGTCCTGTTAACTGAGATCCAAGTGCATGCGGCCATGCTGTCAGGGACACACTCCAGCCAGAACCTGAGGCTTTCCAGCTGGGCCTGGAGACTAGACCACCCCACCCCACCCCTGCCTCCGTGCTTGAGCACTCTTTTTACTTCTTTTAGACTTAGGCACAAATTCTCTACTCCCCTTTCCTCATATTTATAAAATCAAAGTGCATACGTTGTAATTATATACTTTGGTTATATGGTACTTAAATGAATGTATGTTTTCATTATATATTTAATTATACATTAATTGTAGATAATACTTTATGCATATTCTACTTTAATTATGTATATACCTATTTGTAAAAATATGTGTTGGTTCTAAAAGTGTATGTGATGGCTGGTACATTCAAGTTATTGCAATTTTCTGCCAACCAGTATGTTTCTTAAATATGCCAGTTTGGGAGCATTTTTAAATGTGATATTCTCTACTTTTCATATTGCTTCCTATCACGGATCCCATGCCAAGGCCACTGTTGCGATCTGAGGACTGATACTTAGGCATCTGTCTTTGGTTCAATGCTGAGTAACTCACAGGGTCTCCTGAAGAGGAGAGCCAGCACTACTGACCCACCTGGCCAGAGGACCATCAGACTACGAGCATACTAAACCCTGACCCTGTCTCCCCCATGCTGGGGGTCACCTTCACACAGGTGCACTGGCACAGAGCAGGCTCAGGTGGACTCCCCTCAGACTGCAGGGGACGTTCCTCGCCCACCCAGTCTGCATTGGTGCCACCTCACTGCCGAAGTGTCCCTCCCTCACTCATTTTCTCTTAACTACCAGAAGAGGTGCAGCCTCAAGATAAAAACATTCCAAAAGGAAAGATGTGTCCTGCATCCCTCCCAAATCATGAGAAAGCACCTCAGCCTCAGGACAGTGCATTTGCAGCCAGAGGGGGAAAGGTGGGAAGTCCCTGGCACCAACAGGTGAAGGACAATGTCCTTCTGAGGTCAGACACATTTTGATGAAGCAAGTTGCCCTGGATTCTAAGTCAGGCAATGCTGCTGGTTCACCTGCCCCGGCAATGGGTGGCCAGGGAAAACCACTGATCTCCATGGCTCTCCCCCACCTGCATTTCATCCCCTAAAAAACACTTTTATTCTCCTATTTGTACAAAAGAAAATAATGAAAGTATATTATATTTTCACCATTTCAGACAGGAGATGCGCAGACCAACTGCTGACAGTTTACTAAGATCTCCACAAGGAGGCGCCGTGGCTTCCCTCACACTCTGGCTTTCAGGGAAGTCCATGCCGCAGCTGCCTCTCTGATTCACTCCTGTCTGCAGTGTGAGGGAGTCTGGCTTTCCGGGTTGGGTTACCCTGGTTTCCAGGCATCACACTTGACTCCTGCCCAAGGTCAGGATTTAATGGCGGGGAGTTTGAAAGGTTTGCCTGGGAGGGGCATTATGTGCTGAGGACAGTCATGTTATTTTTATTTGCAAATGCAAATGGAATGGTTTTCCGTGGACCACTTAGTAGACTGGATCTTCTTGGCTGTATTAATGAGGATTAAAGGTTGCTGGAAACGTGGGCATTGATATGCTGCTGTCCAGGTCTAAACATTGGGAATCCGATTCCAAGAGGAATTTTCAGTCACACTGCCTGCTGAGGACCAACGACTGTCCAACTGTGCTCAGTTTCAACAATCCCAGAACCTCATCTGAGATCCACAGTATGTAGGGAGTCAATCAGGTACCTGGGTTTTGCAGTATGAAGACCTCTTAGGGCTGAAGTGAGATCATGATGCATCTGCATGTTTTCATACAACCCGTCTGCTCTACCACTCTTGGTGTGTGAATGAACACAATGTCCAGGCAGTCTGGATATTTCCTGGTTATGCTTAAATACTTAAAATTAATGCCAAAACATACTTACTGACTAAAATTTACCAACACTTTCAGCAAAATAAGAAACTACAATTCATACTGTCATAGTACAAAAGATTTTCTATGGAGTTGCTGGTTGCTGCCCATAAAATTTCCAAACTTAACTGCTCTTAATACAGTAAGAATCATGATGGACACCACTGAAATACAGAAGACAGTGACAAAGTGCTTTCAAGTTTACTTATATCACTTTTAGCATCTTTAGCAAGGTGCTAAAATTTTTAGGGTTAGAAAGGACAACCATGCCTTCTGTTTGTATATATGTATATGTATGTATGTATGTATGTATGTATGTATGTATGTATATATATATATTTTTTTCCTTTAAGCTGGAGCATTCTTACCTTGAAACTGAGCACTGAAGCCCTTGCGCCGATGGTTGCTATCGGATGTGAAATGCAGCCGCAGCCAGTTCTTGCTACTGATGACAGGAGAGGGCAGGTTCATGCCCGTGAGCCTACAAAAGAGAGAGAGGAGAAAGGTCTCCCTTTAAAAAACACAGAGAAAATGTCCTATACCTAAATCGTACTTCAAAAGTGGATTCTGTTATTCTTTTTTGCGATGGCTAAAACAGAGGTGATCTATTAGTTGCCTTTAAAACTTAAAATGATTTGGATAGCTTTATCTTTGCCCAAATATAAATGCTAAATTTACCCTTGATTAAAAGGAAGCTTTCAAAAACATTTGACATTTTGAATCTTCCTTGTTAATGATGAATACATGAGAAGACATATTTTCAATCTCATGTCATTTCCTCAGGACCTTAATCACAATGAGTCATTAAAAGAAAAAGAAATAGGCAACTTATAAGACTCTGCCTTTCTCCATCTGGACACTCCACGGTTCTATTAATTTGGAGTCGGCTGAAACACACAGTTTATCACAGGGGGCCATGTTTCCCACGTTCCATCTGCAGAATCTGCAGCCCAGGCCTCTCCCACTGACATAAAGGAAAGGGTCATTTAGAAGATGGATGACAAGAACTGTCAAAGAGATCTGAAATGGAATAAAATCATGTTTTACTAAAGTAATGTATTAATCTTTTAAAAAGGAGATATGATCCATCTCTGTTCTCTGTTTAGAGTATCCAGCCAGCTCCCCAACGCCCAGGTCAGCTGTCAGAAACACTGGAGCCCTCCCCTCGCCCCGTTGACAATGTCCCATGCTTGCAGAGGAAGAGAAGCCTCTCAGGAATCATGGCCCTGTGAGTCAGAAGAGCAAGAAATGCCCTCAGCGGGGCCGGGCTGGAGCACCCCTGGAGAGCATACCCCAGCATGATCGTGTTCTGGCTCTGCCGTGTGCTGGCAGAGGCTCCAGAACTTTGTTGTGACACTTAGTTTCCCCATCTACAAACTGGACATGAAAATCAGTCACCCCTCGATATCCACAGAGGATTGGGGCTCCCACTAGGCACCAGAACCCATACATGCTCAAGTCCTTTATATGAAAGGGCACAATATTTGAACATAGCCTACGCACACTGTGTTTGAATCATCTCCAGGTTACTTATGATCCCTAAGAAAATGTGAGTACTTGTTAAAATGTAAATACTTATTATACAGTATTGTCTAGGGAATACTGACAAGAAATAAAAGTGTGTACATGTTTGGTACACATGCATGATTTTAAAATATTTTCCATCTATGGATGGTTGAACCCGTGGGTGAGGCCTGGACGTCTACATGAAGGAGTTGGAGAGGTTTCGTAGATGCTCACGTGACTGGACGCAGAGCACACTTTTCATGCTACTGGACTTAGATGGTACATGCACTATATAATTATGCTGTATCTCAATTGCCAAATCTGTTTTCAAAATGATGCTTATTAGCGTAGATGATCCGGAAAGGATGGACCAATCTGCTTATAGTAGAAACCTGGAGAACCATGTGCCCTGGAAGCACTGGACTGGAAGCACACATTTGTGTGGTCAAGGGATGCCTCATTTCTCTGCACAGGATTTGCTGGAAACCGTTTAGCTGTGGGGAGCATTTCCTACTTATTCCATTACCTGGAGGAAAAGCAGTCAAATGACATATGTAGTCAAGCTTTCTGATGTCAGGGTGCTCAATTTCCACTGCCAATCTCTAAATGTGCACGATCCATTTAAAGTTAAAAGTCAAACCTTGACTGTAACCAATTGCAACAGTGTTTATGTCACTGTGTGAAGGAATCTGCAAGAGGAAACAGTGCTCAGACTGGCCTATTTTCTGGATTTGTCTGCTACTAGGGTGACAGCTGGACAAAGCCGACGCCAAGACATGCATCACCTTCTTTCCCTATTGAGATTATGCTGCTCTTTCTATTGGTCTCAGGCCCCCTCCACTAACACCAAGAATGTCTGCAGGAGAAGTCAGTCTGGATTCAAGAATCCCCAGCCCTTCCCAGCTCAGCTTCACTTTCATATGACCTGTTTATAACTGAAATCAACTTCGACTCTGTTGTTGCTTTAAAATCTATGCTTTTCTCAATTAGATTATTCTTGATGGTTCTAATCACAAAAGCTAGGTGGAACTAACAAGGTTGGCACACACAGCCTCTCTTCCCCAACCTGCCTTTCCAAACACCCCCACATAGGAATGTCTGTTTTGTGATAGTCAACAAACCTTTCTCTGAACAGGGGTCAGGTAGTGGGTATTTTAGGTTTTGGGCTGTGGATGTGACTCAGCACTAGAGAGTTTGTCTACCATGTGCAAGGTCCTGGGTTCATCCCCAGCACTGCCAAAAAGAAAAAAAATAACTGAATTAATTATTCTAGGGCCTGTGCTCACTCGGTCTCTGTTGCAACTGGTCAACTCTACTGTACTCCTTCAAGAGCTGCCTCATGATGGGTGTGACTGTGTTCACACAGCACTTGTTGACATTGACACCTGGATTTCATATCGGTTTTCTGTGTCACAAAATATTTATTACTTTTTAAAATGTCTTCACATCGAGTTAAGAATGTAATAACTCATTCTGAGCCTATGGGCTAAGCCCAGGGGGCAACAGCTTGTGACCCCTGGCTTGGTATATAAAGGCCATTCGTAAAATTACAGAGTGGAAAGAAATTTAGATGGTACATATCAACCTAATGAGACTAAATCATCAGAGTAAAAGGCACAACTTCTTCACAGATTCCTCTCCTCTGGAATCAAGCATGAGGACTTGTAACAATTATGTAATTCATTTTGCATGGTTGGAACCAAGCTGTGCCAATGAGTCCTATTCCAAAGGAGATGGATTTCTTGATTTTCACTTGTCAGTTAACAAATAATTGTGCCCACTTGGGGATGGGGTCACTCTAGACAAGGCCTCACCTTAGAAGGGCAGGTTCCTTGGTCACTGTCCACAGGACTGGGGTAAGGTTTGGCTGACTTTCAACTCAAAGATTCTGCTCTGAAGTCAACTGTTCTTTCACTGAAAACCAATGTAAAGGAAGTCGATTAGTCTGCACCAGGAGATGATTCGGGAACTTGATCAGCATGCGGATGACTCAAGTAAGACTTAGAGGGGCAGAACTCAACAGCAGTTCTCTGGGCAGGCGTAACAAGGGCCTCGGGCTGCCCACATGCTGAGGCCCTGCTGCCCAGCCCATGAGCACCACGCCTCACCTGCAGTTCAGACAGGCAAGGGTTATTCTGACTCTTTGGTGGGCCCACTATAATCCAGGTATCCTTGAGGCTGAGAGGAGGAAGCGGAAGGCAGTCATAGAGGGGCCTAGGCAGAGAGAGTCAGGCCGCAGGCCTCCACACCACTGCTGGTGGCAAGACAGACCCGGGAGGGCCACAGGGGCCCCACTGCCCTTCTACGCCAGGGGCTGGTGTCCTGCGAGACCTGTCCAGACCTCAAGGGCAGTGTTTGTGTTGGTGTGAGCCACGGGGTCTGTGCTAGCCATGGGCAGTTGGCGAGGAGAAGCTGATCTTGTGTGTATCTATCTATGAACCGAGGCGATAGGTGCAGCTTTTCATATGTCAACATCCTTCAACACAAACAGAAACCCAGATAGGATCTTCCAATAAGTATGTCCTATTTTTCATTCTTAGGCAGTGCTGAAGAAAAGGAAATATGGTGGGACATTTCATTACTTTATATCTGTAAAGAATCTTGCAAAATCAGTGCCGTTGAAACCTTTTCTGTAACTATCTGGGATTGGAAATCTACGATGGTCGGAGGGAGTTTCTGACAGGGCCTCTAGGGTCATTTTCCTACTTCATTTTTTTTTTTTTCCTTCTTTAATTTTGGTGCTAGGATTGAACTCAGGGCTTTGCATATGTATTTTTTAAGTCTACCGAATTCGTTTTTTTTAATAAATAAATATTTTTGGAAGTGAGACAGGTCAACATTCGGGAACTGATATGAAGACACAAAGCAGAGACATTCCGAGGACAAGTGAGGACATCAGGGCAGGTGTCTGTCACTGTCTTGGTACATGGGCTCACAATCTCCTGTCCTCAGGTGCAGAAGCAGATGATCACCTGGGAAAGAAGGTGGCCTCTGGGACAAGGTCACCGGGCTCCAGCTGAGTGTGGGGTGATGAGAGGTGCACCTAAGTCCAGGGAGAGCACTTCCCGGGTGGCTGCCCAGCTGTCCTGTCCCCTGAGACCGGGGCCAGGAGGGAGAGGGCCGTGCTGCCTTGCAGTGCAGCCTGGGAACTGGCCGCCTCACCGTTTCCTCCTGAGTGCCAAATGAAGCCACTCTCACCACTGGCAGATTCGTCTTCCACCAAGGACTCAAGAGGGCTTGGCTTCTGCTAGGAGCGAGAATACATGTGGGACCCCTGGGGTACTTGAAGTTACACGACCTGCTCTAGCCCAAACAGCACAGCCTAGTCAGTCCCACCTTCTCCAGGTGGATAGCCGCGGATCTGAGGAGCCTGTTTGTAGCAGTCCCCTGGGTCACTCCTCGCCCAACTGTCCTCAGCCTCGCTGTGGTGAGTGGTTCCCCTGACGGTCTCAGCCCCTGCCTCCGTGACTCATGCAGTCCACCGAGGAACTCAAAAAGTGAAGAGACAACTTGAGACGATTTCCTAAACCGCACCTGGAAATGCTAAAGGTTTGTGAAATTGGTCTGTTCGAGCACTTCTGACATGACGCCAAATGACTTACATTTTTAGAAAATCATCATAGAAATCACAGGGACTCTCCTCTGCATTTGAACCTTTTTATGATGAGTACGAAGCCAGAAAGTATCAGTACGATTAGGGCAGACTTGAAACCACTCCACTCCCTCAGGAGACTGAGAGACTTCAGTAAACCCATTACTTCCAAGAGACTGACGACTGTGGAACTGGGGGGATATCTCACAAAAAATGCAGTATTTTCCCCTGTGTTCCTGTGGATGTAGGATTGAGATGACTCACAGTGTGGTGTCTCATGCATCTGTTTTGTTAAAATCAAATAGAATATTCTGATCAAATGGAGAGTTCCAGAAATGTCATGTTTCCCATGGGGTGTCATCTATATTACAAGTGAAATCGAC